ACTGCTGTCGATTAACCATTTAGAAATAGAAGTTTATGAACCACGTAACGTTGAACGGCTACAGTTTTAAACTACTTACCGACTTTTTTAATTAATTTAGTTGAACGATTACAGGTACAGTTTCAGTCACTTTATTCTTAAATCGCTTTTTCTGTGCATACTAATCTTATTGCGTTCAATGGAATACCTACCAATTCAACTTTATCGCTATAAACTAAACAATTGAACGATCTTTTTAATCATTTATGGTGCCAATCGATCTTGAAATTTTTAATTCTATCACAAGCACAACATACAGTGTAGAAAATGTAAATTGAATCCTATAAATGTGTGATAGTACAGGCTTTCAGGTTTAAAGTAAATCCAGGTTTATATTGTTGCACAACTCTTTTTTCGAAATTGGAACAGTTTAAATATCGATAATTGTTTGGCAATGAGAAAATTGTTCGAATACATTTTTTTAGCCATTGCAGATAATATTGATTAACATATTTTTTTATGTTTAATTTTGAATAGATAATTTTGATATATAGAGTGTTCCAAAATTATGTTACTTGCGGAAAATGACGGGTTCCAGAGGTCATTTGAAGTAACTTTTTCCTTAATGAAAATACAATCCGCGGCTTTGTTTACGAGTTATTAACTAAAAACACTGACCAATGAGAGGCGAGCTCGGCTGGCGCGAGGCGGCCGAGCCAATCAGCGAAACTGGGCTTCGACCGCTCGTTGGCTCGGTCGTCTCGCCTCTCATTGGTCACTGTTTTTCATTAATAACTTGTTAACGATGCCTTGGAGAAAATTTTTGTAAAGGAAAAAGTTACTTCAAATGACCTCGGGAACCTCTCATTGCTCGGAAATAAGATAATTTTGGGACACCCTGTATGTTGACTACCGAAACGAGTGTTCACTCGCTTTAATACGTTTACTATTAATGTCTACAATGTGCGACCTCGTAATTTACATAAAAATAGACGTTTTCTTCTACAATTTCTGATATTGTGCCAATGCTTCTATGAGAAATGTTACACTTCTTCATTCAAGTATAAATTATTATAGAAATCGTGCGAAGTTGAAATAAATTTAGTCTTGTCATTGCTAAAACACAATACACATTAGTAGCGTTTAAAGCTCGCTAGTTCTAATGTTAACGCTAAACCTGCCGCGATCAATAAATAAAAATAAACCTGTCGCTTTCAAGAGAAATGCTTAAGTAAATTACATTATTGGAGCAAGTTTTGTAATAAAAACCTTAACATTCATAATACGTGACACTATCTTATGTTCATGTTTTTTTCTGCCCTTTACTTTTTCTATTATTTTTCTACCTTTTATACTCGAACTTTCACTATCCGAATATTCAAAGTTGGGNTGTCTCATGTTTATAATGAAACTTTTACTATCCGGAATCCAGAGTTGGGCATCATTTGAGTGATTATTTAAATATAATATTATTTATTATTTGTAAGTTTACAAATAAATTATTTAAAACAATAACATTTTTTTTTATTTTAGAATACAATTCCAATCGTTACTTATTAATTATCATTTAACTGTTCATTATTTATTATTCGTTCGGCACAACGCATCGAATAAATAATAATAGCATTGTAATTATTAATAATAATTTAATTAATTAATTTGTTACACTGT